GACATTACATTACATTACGTTACGTTACGTTACATTACATTAATTACATTAGGGACGGACCATTAGAAAAGTGATGGGGGGGGGGGATTTTCTAGGAGGCAATATTTTTTTTTGTACACCTATAGAAGAATTTTATTTTTTTTCTCACTTGACGGTTGGAAATATATTTTTTTTAAAGGGGCCCCACAGTAATTTTTTAGTCAAGTAAGTATTGTTTACATGTTTTTGTTATTGTCTCTATTTGACATGCGCACCACAGTATGCATGCATTTTCTGGTGTGCAAAAGTACTCATACTCATGGATACTGCATGTAAGATACAGCCAAACGAATCTCTGTGGAGTCCCCTACTTAAGCTGGCTTTCGACTAAAAAATGACTGTAGGGCCCCCTTAAGTGAAATTTATAGGCATATTAGTAGCGTAGTCCTGGAATGTTAACAAGGGGGGCTCTCCAAAGTGCCCTGAATTGGCGGGAGGGGAGGGGAGGTACAATAAGATATTTTGGAAATTCTAAATTTTGTTGGGGTATATTCTAGTAATTCTGGGACAAACATTTGACGTTATTCTTATTAAAAACAAGCCGAAGCGAGGGCCGAAGGCCCAAGGAAATTTTTAAATTTAGAGTCTCTGAAATGCCATTTCCTGGACTTTGGGGAAGATTTGACATGAAATTTCAACAAGGGGGCTCAGCCTCCCTGAGCCCTCCCTCCAGTACACCACTTGGCCTATCTTCTAGGCAAGGATCTTTTTTTTTGCACTATGCCTGGAAAGATTTTTTTTTCTTAATTTTTTTCTGGGAATAATTTTTTTTTTTGGTTTTGCCCCACCCACCCCCATCACTTTTCTAATGGTCCGTCCCTTACATTACATTAGTCATTACATTAGTCATTACATTAGTCATCACATTAGTCATTACATTAGTCATTACATTAGTCATTACATTAGTCATTACATTAGTCATTACATTAGTCATTACATTAGTCATTACATTAGTCATTACATTAGTCATTACATTAGTCATTACATTAGTCATTACATTAGTCATTACATTACATTGAGTTTGGGTAATGGTCGAGTGTCGAGGATCATAGGTCGAGGGTCGAGGGTCATACGTCGAGGGTCAAAAGTCGAGGTCGAGGGTCAAAAGTCGAGGGTTGAAAGTCGAAAATACTAAACTTTTATCCATTTTAAAAGTTTTACAACCATTAAACGCGGCAAAACAATATTAGTTTCGCCTATGGCTATGCCGTATGGCTATGTACTGTATAACTAAAAGTTTCGCTTGTGGAACTAAAAGTCGAGGTTTGATGCATGTTTGAAAGCATACATCTTTTATTTTACATTGGAGTTTAAAATATACAAACACGGACGATTATACAAAAATGGCGTTTCACTCTCATGAGAAATTTGATTATAGGTATAAATATGTTATCTCTTGGAGGCGAAAGAGTTCTGAAATTCTCAGAACTTCATCTTAACGATACTCCTCATACCGCGTATGGTTTTGGAGGTTTAAAGCGTTAGGATGTGCGAGAAACAGTTGATATTTATATATTTTATAACATCATGTCTGCACCGGAAGTGCACATGTTCGATTGACAGTTTCATATTCATAATATAGTTGCGAGAAAAACTTTCTTTAGTTATTCTGTCAAAAATCACATGCACGAAGCACGAATCTTTATAACAGGGTGATTTTAGTCTGGTTCAGAATTTACGACCATTAATTGTGAGAGATTTTTGCTGCGCTGGGACTCGATTCGTTCTGATAGTACAATAAATACAATATACTTTCGAATCACCCCACCGGCACCGTACGTTCTCGAATAGTTTTAATTAGTAATTTTACACTTTCTCGAAAAACAAAAAGGAACCTAATTATGCCCCAAGGCATGTTCTGTACTAACAGTAATGAAGTTAGTTATCAGGAGAACCTTTACAATTTTGACAACAAATGCCAAAAATGTAGTATTTCCCAAAAAATTAATATTTCCCATTTTCGACCCTTGAATTTCGACCCTCGACTTTTGACCCTCGACCTCTACTTCCGAACCTCGACCTATGACCCTCGACCTATGACCCTCGACATATGACCCTCGACCATTACCCAAACTCCATTACATTACATTACATTAGTCATTGCATTACATTAGTCATTACATTGCATTAGTCATTACATTGCATTACATTAACACTATATATATTGATCTCTATAAAACAGACTAACATGTATTGTCAAAGTAAACATTTCTCGCGTATTACTGTAAGAGTCATCGATCAAGAAATTACAGTGAAGCCAAAGTCACAATTTAGGTGTTTATCAAATTTATTATGTGGTCTGTATTCTCTAATGTCAAACATATAAAGTTACAAATATACAGTCACATACAGTATTTGTAACATTCACGCTTTGACTTATCAGCTTTCAGTAGGCTTTTGTCGGATTATTTTACCGTATACATGTTTGATAGCAGGGAGGTATATACTACTACATATTTCTTGAGCATCAAATTTCCATAAAGTCAATGGCAAGTTGGAATTTGGAAATTTCAAAACGCTTTTAATAACAGTCCGAGTAGCATTGTTTACAAGCAAGGTTTGTTGTAGTTTGCGGCGATATTTCAGAATTCAAAAGATCTCTCTATTTCGTTACAATTCCACATCTCAGTATTAAATAAATAGCCTTTAGGATAGACTTCAGCAGGTAAATAACAGCAACATCGGTCGGTCTAGAGATCCATTTTCTTGCATGTAATGTTTACAACGATGTCAATAATATCAACAACAAAATTACCGATATGGATATCGATATCATCACTATTTTGCAGAACGGCGGCGATCTTCTTTGTAACCTACAGAGTACAGTATTAAATGACTGTATATATATACATGAAGACCACCATAGATGTCAAATGATATGTCATATTATTTCATTAAATGGGTAACTATAATCTATACTCCGCAGTTCCATAGCTCTGAAAGCATATTATATGCCGGTTATAAAAATTTGACTATCTAGTGGATAGCACTATTCAGCTTTCGTACATGTGGCCCTTCAGCCATATTCCTATTAAAGAACTACAATAATTAATTTAGCTGTCTATAAGATTATAGCGTCCAAATAGTTGACTGCTATATGGGACGTGAAGTTGAACTGTTCCATCCACACTTGGTTATTTATAAACCGATCTTACGATATCAACTACGTACCCTTAAATCCTTAATGCGCTCTACGTACATTTGGGAAAGCCTCAGAAAAGAAACACGCATATGCATTCCAAAAGGAAAAAGGTAAATATGCGGAAACACTTTGTTTGGAACCCACGACTTTTTATCGGGATCCACGATTTTTTATTCGGGACCCACGACTTTTTTCCCAGGACCCACGACTTTTTACTAACGACCCACGACTTTTTACCCACAACTCACGACTTTTTACTCGCGACATTCTACACACGGCCCACGAGATTCTACCCACGACTGTTAGCTAGTCCCGCTTTGAGTATTCAAATAAAGACTTTTATTTACTATTATTATCCATAAGTACAATTTCTTACGCCGCCGGTATGTCCGGAAAATTTTTTTTGGTATCCTCCCCCCCTAGCCTGCATGGCAGGCGGTACGTAGGAAATACCGCCTGCCGCAAAACTGGGTGTAAATGAACTACCGCCCCTGAAGCATCAACGCTATTTATAGATGCATTAATTAAGTAAATATTCAAAATTAGCCACTCCCAAGCTGCTCCCAAGTCACAACTGCCAAACATAAAATAAATTCCTTGATTCTCATCACCGCCCGACTGAATTTTAAAATCCTCGTGAAAACGTTTTATTTTTCGTTATACAATATAAATGTACCGCCCGACAAAATAATTCAAGACAGTTAATTTTTTCATATTTTATATAGAGTTTTTATTGCCATTTTAAACTTCCAATTTGAAACAAACAGAATTTTGAGTGAAATTTCATTGTATTTTAAAGAAACTCAGTCATTCTGTCATTGTTTATGGAGATACGAACTATTGATATATAAATTATATAAATATAAAATATAAAAAATAAATCTCCCACTGTCTTCGACATTTCAAAGTGTAGACTGTGTCTAGTGATGAGAATCAAGGAATTTATTTTATGTGTTAATATAAACCAAGCCCGTTTAGCCGTTTAGCTGCCTTAAAACGGTGGTTTAATAAGCTCAAAATACAAAGCATGCAAGTCTATACTATAGATTCATCATCAGTCAACAACCAAACTGAAAGTATTTAACCTTATAGAACGATAGTTTTTATTTGTTTACAACTATACATATTCAACGGGTATATAAGAGTTTAACTGTTATTTGATAATTACTGCATCAACCGGCCCCTTGTTTATACTTTGGAGGTTCGTATATAATATCTATCAAGTATCTTTGGTTCAGAACATGACTGATAGGCCTATATGGAAATCCCACTGTTCGATTCAGTGAAGAAATATCTCCTAATTTCTATCGATAGTTTTAGTAAAATGTCAACATTATTGCGATTTATGGCCTTTGAAAGTCAAGCGAGATAGTATATTATCAAATTAATACGCATGTAATTGTCTGAACGAAAATATAGACTAGCCCATACCTTTCGCCGATCATAACTTCGGCCCCTTCGGACGTATCTTCTTTGTTAAATATTCTTGTTCGAATCTCTATCAATAACACTATTTAGAGTGTTATTTTTCAGCTTGTATCTTTTAATTTGCTTCTTTTATTATGTTATTCCATTTCTGGTCTGACTTGACGTGAACTAATTTCAAAACGCAGAGTTTCAAAACGTCAAAACATTTGGTTAATGATTAACATTTAACCGAATTTAGCCGTTGATTGACAACTACATAAAATTACTAACCAATCCGTTTTTCCCGTTCACCAGCGGACGGGTAATTCAAAAACCCCTAGTTTTGCGGCAGACGGTATTTCCTTTGCTTCCCTAATTTTCGCTGCCCGTAGAAATACCGCCTGCCATGCAGGCTAACACTGATTTTAAACGTTATATGAAATTTAAAACTCAACATAAGTTCAATTTCGAAAACATTAATATCAATGAAGTGTTAAATGCACTGGAGAAATTAAAGACATCTAAGTCAACTGGACATGATAATATCCCAGCCAAACTTTTGAAAGATGCGAGTGATGCCGTGGCGCCTTTTTTAGTATTTATTTTTAATACTTCACTCAAACATGGAATTTTCCCTGATGATCTTAAGACTGCAAGAATTTCTCCAATTCATAAATCTGGCGAAAAAAAAATCGAGGCAATTATAGACCGATTTCCATTCTTTCGATTATTGCTAAGTTATTTGAGAAACTTGTCTGTACACAGCTCAATTCCTTTTTAACTGAAAATAATATTCTAAGCTCGTGTCAGTCTGGTTTCCGTAAAAATTATTCCACCGCATCAGCCCTTTTAGCAAATACGGATTCATGGTTACTTAACATGGATGCTGGGATGATAAACGGAGTACTTTTTCTGGACTTATGTAAAGCATTTCATACGGTTGAACACGGAATTCTCCTAAGTAAATTATCTATCTATGGAATCCAAAATAAGGCCTTAGATTGGTTTAAATCTTATTTGCATAACAGAACGCAATACTGCAGGGTGAACAGTGCAACATCGTCCACCAGGAAAATACGTTGTGGGGTTCCCCAGGGATCGAACCTTGGTCCCGTTTTGTTTTTATTATACGTCAATGACCTGCCAAATTGCTTGGATAAATCCTGTCCGGCAATGTATGCACATGATACAAATCTTACAGTATGTTCAGATAGCATTAATAATTTGGAGGAAGCACTAAATTCTGAAATGAAAAATATTCACCAGTGGCTTCTTTCAAACAAGCTAACTTTAAACATTGAAAAAACAGAATACATGATCATTGGAACCCGTCAAAGACTAGCTAAAATTCAAAAAAATACTAGCGTATCATGCGGGGGGAAACTATTGAAACAGGTTTATTCCAAAAAGACTTTAGGTGTACTGATTGATGACAATCTATGTTGGAATGAGCAAATCGACAACATCAGTAAAAAGGTATCGAAGGGCATTGGTATGCTGCGCCGTGCAAAGCCATTTGTCTCTCTTGAAACTCTTAAATATATTTATCAGGCTTTAGTGCAATCGAGTTTTGATTACTGCTCCATGGTTTCGGGAAACTGTGGCGAAGGTTCAAAAGAAAAGCTACAGAGACTACAAAATCGTGCAGCTAGAGTAATCACAGGTGATACCTATGAAATTCGCTCCACGGATATTTTAAAGAAATTAAATTGGAGAACACTCGAAGAGAGAAGAAAGGAGCAAAAATTAGCATATGTGGCCAAAGCCCTTTCAAACCAATGTCCTGAAAACGTTTCAACTATGTTTAAAATCTCAAATTCTGATAAATATAATTTAAGAAGTAATAACAAGATGCTGATGTTGTCGAAGCCTAAAACAAATTCAATGAAAAGGACATTCGGATATGCTGCTGCTAAAGACTGGAACTATAATAGTAATAATTTTAAATCTACTTAATTCATTTGTAATATATATATTTAACGTATCGCTTCGACCCAAACATTTCTTAGTATCTTTTAATATTTTTATAATAGTTTATATAATAGTATTTCGAGTTTTAATTTGTATTTAATAACACGGCCTAATGAAAAACAACCTTTATAATTTTTGTAAATACTGATAGGTAATATGGTTGATTAGTTACCGTGTATAAAGATGTTGTAATAATAATAATAATAATAATAATTGAGTAGCGATTCTGTGCACGACATCTTCGATTTCATCCGAACCGTCCTCGTCGTTAGTTATGTTTCCGACTATTCCCCAAGCATAGGGTTCGTTACCTCGTCCGGGCAGAACTCTTCGTGGTACAATGGCACGAGGACAGTTCGCACCTATCAACAATCCTACCTCGATGTCACTATGATAGGGTGACAATTCTGTTGCTATCTTTGGTAGATGGGACCACTTTGTTGCCATCTCTGGACGTGGAATTTGCGATCTCTTTACTGGGATAGCCTTGCAGAATACTCGCGGAAGTTGTATCTCAGAGTTACGCTTGAAGTCGCTCACCACGAGGCCGTTGACTTTGCTGGTTTGAATGATCTCGTTTGCGACATTCATAGTGGAAAGTGAAATTTGTGTCGGATGACCTTCGATTCCAAGATTGCTAGGGGTACTTTCGGAGACGAACGTGCTATCAGACTGATTGTCGAGGAGGGCGTATACGAGCACGGCATTTTCGGGATGATTTGCATGTTGCAACCACCCGGGAAAGATCATTGAACTCACTATTCCATCACGTTCTTCCTTGGAAGTGCCAGATTTGGTACAATAGGCTGCCCGTTGTTCCGTTTGGTTTTCCGTTCGAGAGGGTGCAGTCTCTTTAGATTCGCCTTTCAGGTCTCCATGCAGGGATGTTGGATGAGCCATTTTGCATGAGTCGCACTTTTTCGTCTCTTGCAATCCCTCGACAAATGTCCCTTTCCAAGGCATTCAAAGCAGTGTCCTTTCGTTTTTGCAAACTCTTTCCTCGCTTTGACCTCCATATCCATATAGATCTTACAGGATTCCAATTCATGGGCCTTTCCACACATTGCGCATTGGACGTCTTGGGTCTTGCCCTTACTCGCATCTTCTTCATTAACCTTTGTTGCCAATGATCTAGCAAACTCATCGCGGTTTGATTCTCGAGGTGTACGTCTGAAATTTCCATAGTCCCTTTGTCTTCGAGGTCCCCTTGAATAGATCTCTATCTTCCATTGGCTCAAGTTCATTGGATCGCACGCAATGTCTGCTTCAACCACGACATACTTCACAAAGTCAGAAAATGGGGGGAATCTCTTCGTCTCGTTCTTCCAAGCGTAAACCTTTCTGCTCCATCGTGTGAGAGCCCATTTGGGTAGTTTGGAAGACATCTTATTTATCTCTTGGTCGTCGTTCAAAACCTTCAAACTGTCGACCCTTTCCATCGCCTTCTCATATTGCATCAGGTAATCTGCGTATCTTCGCAATGCCAAACCATCTTGTGGTGGGATTTGAGGCCAGGATTCCAATTTCTTGCGGAATGCCGAGGCAACTGCTTATGGATCTCCGTAACGTTTAGATAACATTTCCTTGGCTTTCAGATAGGCATCTTCTCCGTCCATCAGCATATGTCCATCTATGACATCATTAGCTTCGCCACCAACGTACCTTCCGAGGAAATGTAGTCGTTCAGTGGAATTAGTCGCACGTGTTTCGATTAATGTTTCAAAGGCTTTAAGCCAAATTGGAAACTTTAGTGGGTCACCATTAAAAACTTCTGGTTTTGGAAGGGGGAGACGACTTTGGGCATGACTTTCTACTAACTTATTTAGAGTGAGGTGGGTTTGTAAGATGTTCGGGTTCTCTATGTTCGAAATGGAGTGATGAGCTTCGTTCGTACTTGTCACATTCGGTTGTCCTTGTTCATATTGTGAGGAGTCGTTCGCTGTAGGTGGTGTATAGTTACGAGCGTTAGGATTCAACGTTCTGACCGCTTGATTCTCTACAGGTGTTGTAGGACCTGCCTCTTGGTTGGAGGTGAGGTTTCCAGGATGCTCCAATTCTGTTAAAGGTGATGCGTCCGGTGCCGACTGAGACTGGAGGAAGCGCTCGACGCGATCGTGCGCATTATCACCACAAGGGATCTCTTCAATGGCTCTGAATAATTCTTCTTCACCCTCGAACCTTGTGCAGACATCAATTCGAGCTTCCGCTTCGGCGAGTTCCTCTCTAATCTTGAATCTTTCATCAGTAAGAGTAATTTTCTCTTTAACCTTGCGCTCTTCGTTTTGAATCTCTTGTAGTTTGCTTTCAATTTCTGGTAAGGCCAATCGATTTGCTTGATCGAATTTCTCCATCTCACGAGCAATACGCATTTTGGCCTTGAGCACGGCTGCATTCTCTTCCAGTTCTTGCCTCCTCTGTCTATTCGATGACGTAGTGCTGACCCTTGAACATCGGGCAGATTACTTCGGTATGACCTACGAGAAATGTGGCTTCTACCAGATCTTCGAGATATCCCAGAATGGTTGTCCTCAGCGTCAAATTTCATATCCCTTATTGCTTGACACACTTGCTGTACAACCTTGTTGTTTTCCTTGCTCATGTCCTCAAATTTTCTGAAAAGAGCAATTTTATCAACCGGAGAGTCAATGACACTTTTCAATTCCTCGTGAGCTTTCGTTAAATCCTTCATGCATTGTTCCAAAATGCAACAGTCGTTTTGTAATGATGCAATTTCAGTACAACTTACTAATTTTCCTTGAACGCGGTTGATTTGCTTTCTCCACGCTTTAATTGTATCGTGAAATATATCTTCTGGTCTTTTCTTCGAAATGTGGATCAAACTCGTTTGTAATTCGTCGTAGCACTGAAAGTTTCCGCGTTCGTTTTATCTGTTTTATCAGCTTTTTCGGTTTTACTTGAAGTTCCACCCGATTCGACGTTTTTATCCGCCATTTTTCGAGTTTTTTTTGCAAATTGCCGATGTCGTTCCGAGAGGTCGCCGAAGTCCTCCGATTACGACCACATGGAAAATTCAAAATGGCTCGTTCGTACGTTCAGTGAACGTTTTATAAATTCGAGCACGTAACTGTATTTAGGACCAATATTTCGATAGAATTTCACGATGAATCAAGTTTACAGAATCCCCAATCACTTCGCCAAATGTTTTCTCGTAATATATCTTATTAAGATCGTGTTTTTATATGAATAAAAAGGTTCGTTGTAGCTTTTACGAGGGAAATCGTTGATTCTGTAACTCCCACTAGTTAAAACGCAATTCCTTGTTCTACTTCGACTTTTATAGGGACGCATATATCTGGGCACATCAAGGGAGTTGTTGTTCACTAGCAACTACCAAGTATCACGCAAAGAACACACACACGCATAGCCATAGAATGTTCAAACGATAGATGATAGAAGATGTCAACTACATACAATACAATACAAAACATGCATTAATATAAGTTATAACCGATAAATAGCAAGTCAATATCGTATAGAAAGTATATATATTACCGATTTCTTCCCGCTTGTGTCCAGATCATACAACCAAAAGTTATAAATAAGTAAAACTATAACGCAACAGCTAGTACAAATATTCTTCGATAAAAACGTTTCCTTCGCACATATTTAGTCCAGGGGCCTGGAACTAGTACCGATGGGCAGAGGCGTTTACAGTTAGGGTCACGTTTGTTTTTTAAGTGTATTATATTCAATTAAAATAATATCTTTAATTAATAATTCGCGCGCGAATTCGAATTGTATTAATTAATGCTAAATACTGAGCCGCTGACATAATCTGATATGATCGCGGATGGGGGTCACAGAACGCCCGGGATAATTTCTACCATCGTGTTCCCTAGTGACGCCCATGGGCGTACGGGAAGGAAAAAATTAGGGGGGCGGAAAGAAATTTGCCCGACTTTTTCGGATTGTGCCCGAGTTGTCAAAAAAAAATTTCCGGAGAAACTTTCCAATATTGTTGTCGACGGGGGGGAGGAGTAATTACGAAAAATTCCTATTAGATAGCATATTTCTCACAAAATTGACAGAATTTCCCACAAAATTGACAGAATTTGTCCCACTTATTTTTATAATAAGCCAATATTTCCCGACTGTGAAGCGAATATTGCCCGACTGGCTTTGCTTGCCCAACAAACTGGGGGGAGCTGCCCCCCCCCCTCCGCCACCCCCTGCCATTCGCACTATTTGGACCAAACGACAGAAGGAGAGACCCTGGGAACGAGGTTGGAGTCCACCTTCCTTTCCTCAGAATGTCATGGCACCATCTACGAGTCCATTTACTCTTAGCCTGCGGGCCGGTAAAATACTCGGTAAATTGATAATTTGCACAACATTTTGAGTAAATATTTACTCATTAGTTTGAGTAAATTCACACACACGTTACTTTTTTTTAACTTAGTTAATTTTTGCCCCCCTTTTTGTTATGATCAGTTTTTGGCCAGATTTATTCTTCACACAGTTTCAAGCTAGCGATAGATTGAGACCGCTTTTTGGTGTATCTATTTTAGAAGAAAAGGGCCACGCTCGCAATGAGTTGTGGGATGTCGTGTATCAAATATCAAGTGTGATTACAACCTCGCAAGCTAGGGTCTTTTACTTCCGCACGAGGTTGGTGTGATTACTGATTTGCAAAATGTTTTCGTTTGAATATATTTCGCTCAAGAAAATCGTAGTTTTTATCATATTTTGTATTGGATAAGACATAAGTGACTCTGAATCATGCCGAACGCATATTTGAACTCAGGTGTGAAATATTACTGTTTATATCATATAATTATAACGTCCATCGACCCTATTATCTCATCTATCTTGTGGTTATGAAGTTTTTTAGCGGACAAAATATCTGAAATGTATCAATCGAGTTTATGCGCTACAAATTGATGTTATGTGCAAATATATCAATGTCATAAAACGATACAACTAAAAGATAAACCGATACAACTAAAAGATAAACCGATACAACCAAAAGATAAACCGATACAACTAAAGATGAGGAAACGGAAGTAAATACAACTGAAAGATGAGGAAACGGAAGTAAATACAACTAAAAGATGAGGAAGCGGTTCTGGAATATGCGGCCCCAATATGGGGTGGTCTGCCACAATACCTTACAGACGAACTGGAGAGTATCCAGACTAGAAGTCTGAAAATTATTGGGCTACCTTCTGATTCTCTTCAGTCTCTAGAGCAACGTCGGGATAATCTTGCCATTCGTGAGTACAAGAAAATCATTAATGATGAAACGCACTCATGCAGGAAATATATACCTGACATAGTGACAAACACGTATGACTTAAGAACACCAAAAACTCTTCCCCAATTTCTCTCATACACTAAAAGGCATGAACTATCGTTTATTCCGAGAACAAACTCGCTATTATAGATAATATTTCTATAACTAAGGCCTGCTCTGGGACCTTAACTCGCCGCGAGATAAGGCGAGCCTATGCGAGTTAAGGCGAGATAGGGCGAGTTAAGGAAAAATCTGGCTACTGACCCTTGCGAGTTAAGGCGAGATAAGGCGAGTTAAGGATAAATCTGGATATTGTATACACACTATGTATTTTGCTTTGTTTGTGCATTATGCAAAGCAAGTATGCAGTACTTGAAGTAGCAGGCCTAGAAAAGTGTTTTATTCTATATTCTACAATACATACATGATATGCACAATAACTCGGGACCTGGAAACAAGTTGCATCAAAACGAGGCTGGTAGCCAGATGCCAAATTGTATAATTTGAGGCATTATGCATAGTGTGTATAGAACTGCATTGTTTCCTAAATTTTCACAGTATCAGTTGCTAACTTGCTATGACTAGCTTCACCACATATTTTGTAATTTTTAGCTGTTTTCATGAATCATGACATTATCAATTAGGTTCGAATTTTTTTGCAAGCAGCAGTCCTTGTATTCAATTTTTAATTTAATTTAATATAAACATTGATATGAAACAAAGAGAAACTAAAAAAGCTTGCTAGGAAATTATAATAGATTATTTACTATTAAATTTAGCATGAAACTTCGAACCACAATGATATATTAAATGATAACCAACGGTCATAATACTAAAATTAATGCCCAACTTACTTGCTTTGGAAACGTAAATGAATGTAAATGACAATGATACCTCTGTATAAAACTGTATTATTGTTTAACTAGAAATACATGCATGCAGCAACCCCTCGCCTTTTTTAACAGATGAAGTATAGAAATTCTATTCAACATCAAGTACTCCATGTTTAAAATAATAATAGTCGCTATGGTAACATGAAAATAATATGAGAAAACAGTAGGATATAATTTTTTACCAAAAGAATCGTTGATTTTCATAATTTGTTATTAAAAGGAATATGTTATGTGGCTTTCAATCGGCTAAAAGTTAATGTAAAATGTAACGGTAAAGCGTTTCGAAACTTTGCCGTGGAACCGCAAGGGAAGCTGAAACACTCGCTTTGTTGGCATTATAGTCAGTAGTTTGCTCGAAAATACGGTGAAATATACTTGTTTTATATAAGCAAAAGCTAGTTTTTGAGTTATATTTTGGTGAAGCCATATTTGCTACAGGTAAAAGACCATTATAAACACGCATAAAAACACGATAAGCTGTATTAATTGCCCCAAATAAACAATATTTAAAATCACGTACTACATTCATACATTTTCATGTAAATACCAGCTTGCATAAAAATATATTAAATATTGAGTTGAATGGCATAAAAATTTCGCCGATATGTGAATAAAATCGAAAACACAAAGCATGCAAGTACGGTATGAAATTTTAATACTGAAATGTTCATAAGTTTTATAACACTTACCCAAGATGACAAGATAGCCAAGAGTCAAGACAACAATTAAATTTTATATTAAAACCATCTGGCTCGTCTTCGACAAAATTCGTGTTTATCAGCCTATGCATGCCTTTCACACTTTGTTTCACAGTTGACAGCCACTAATTCATGAAACTGCAGGCTTGTTTCCAGTTAAATGTCGAAATACATCGCAAAAAATATTTTAAAATAGCAAGTATCTTTCCAAAATGAAAAACATTTTTTTAGTGCGAGCTATTACACGTGCATGCGCAATAACGTCGAAGACCGTCCATCACATAATGGAGGACAACTTTGCACTTCGCTATGTTTTCAAACACCCGGGTGTAAATAGCCGGGCGGAATTAGTACCCTCGCACGGCGCTTCGCGCCGCCGGCTCGGGGATTAACAATTATTCGCCGAAAGCGAAGTGATTACCGGTGAATATTCACCGAGACGAAGTCGAGGTGAATATTCACCGTAATCACTGAGCCTGAGGCGAATAATTGTTTTAGTATAAATTTTTAATGAATAAAACAACATTCAAATATCAGTTCAATTAAATTTCAGAAATAAAACTGTTTTCGGCCTGTTCACTAATAGTGTTGCAGTGTTTCTTGTACGCACACGCTTTCAAAATGGCTTCTTGTGTGACTTTATTGCTTTATTACAAAGTTGTTTTTCTCGATTTCTGCTTGGAATATAAACACAATAACGGAATGACTCTTTCACCAGACTTAGAATTAAAAATAGCTTCTGTTTAGCATTAATTTCTTCAGGAAATGGCTGAGGAATTTGGTAAAATGAAATGTGAAACTATATCGTTCGAAAAAAAGTTTTAATAACACTTTTTACTTTACAAGTTTCGAAAACACAATACAGCGGTCAGAACACCTTACAGCACAATGAAAACATGACATATCTAAAGAAATATTATCGTTCAAATAGGGAAATTGATAGGATACAAAACAAAATTGTTTTAGAAAGAATATCACAGCTTTTCCCAACAGTCGGGTAGCCGGTTTTGCAAATTGTTTGAAGCGAATGTTTTAAATAAGTTTTAAATTGTCCGTGAATATGTTTGACACAGTAAAATAATAAAGAAATCCTACCTTTCAAGCTAAATGCAACATTTTGTGCTTTTTTCGTTTTCTGGAACGATTTTTTCAATATTTCGTCGATTTTCAAACCAAATTTGCCGGATCGTTCTTTTTGAAAAGCATTATTTACTAGTCTGCTAGTAAATAATGCCTCAGATTTACTAGTCAACTAGCCAATCAGAATGCGCGAAAGCTTATTTGGTATGCAAAATTTATACTAATAATATTACCGAAATCAGTAGAGTGTCTTTTCCGGAAGTTGAAAAGACAGTCAAAAGCCAGTAGAAACTTTCATGTTTTATGACGTCACGATGAAAGAAGGTAGCGTGGAACTTGTAAGTTATTTTACTTATTAGTAACTCCCTGTAGTGACTTTGCATTTCTTCTCCCAGTGCCTTCCCACGAATAAAAGTTCTCCCTAGTGTGAGGCGGTTTCTACAAAAAACCGAAGACCGACCAAAAAACCCGAAAAAACCGAGTGAACAGGTTTTTAAAAAAAATATGTTCGAAAATCGGTTTAAAACAGACAACAACACACGCTATTGAATATTTTAGACCTGTCTTCGCAGACGTCCGCCTTTATTACTAGCGAATCAAAATTCACCATCGCTTGATCCGCTTATCCGTTCAAGACTTCAAGCTCGTGCGAAATTGTAGAATGGTATTTATAACGTAAGGTATTTTGAAGATGTCATCAAATTTCAAACAAAATCTCTTTAGTTTTCGTGTGTAAATGCCAAAACTTGATTCATTTGCAAGAAACTCGTATAAGTATGTTTCGATTTCGGTTTCCCCCCGGTTTTTTCGGTTTTCCGGTTTTTCTCCAAAAGTATAAACATCGTCATCGAGTAATTCGGTCTTAAAAAAACATCGGTTTTTTCGGTTTATCGAAAAACCGCCTCACCCTAGTTCTCCCTTTGTTCAAAAGCTTGTTTTGTGTTTGGCGAGCCATTGTCACTTTGTCAAACTAAATAAAGTTACTATGTTGTGAATTTCTATGCCTCCCTTAGAACGTGTTCACAACAAATCACAAATGGTTGAATTTTAAGTAAATATCAATAATATATTTTGTCACATCTCTGGTTTTCTCACACTCTCACAATCCCTTCACAATACATGCATAACGCCCTCTCTACATCCGGTTTGGAACTTCCGCTATACTCAGTTCCCGACACACTCCCCCATGTATATTCTCAATTGACATATACATGCAACTTCTTGGACTGGGTGAACTTAATTAGGCGAGTCCTTTGTGCTCAACAAACAATGTCTACATTAATGTTCTTAGAATTTGGTTAAATATGAATGTTAATTACACGTAAACGTTTATTTTCCATGTCAATGTTCCTCGTTTTCTTGTCTTACGATTTCTTGAATTCGTTGTGAAGCTACGGCTGCGGCTTGTCTTCGTGGTCGAGGGTTGTACTCCGGAGCTTCTGGGTTTAGCTGACTTGGTTCTTCCGCGTCACAACTTAACTCCAGCGGAAACAAATGTTGGATTGCCCGCTCTAAATGACCATTTCCAGTTTTCAACCGCACAGCTCTCACAACGCTGTCTCTCCCCGTGATTAATTGCTTTACCATCGCTAGTTTCCACACGTTTCTGGGTTTCTGATCTTCTTTGATAATCACAATATCTCCAACGTTAGGATAGGATGTATCTTTCTTCTCCGTCAGGCGATTTTGTTCCCGAAGACTACGAATGTACTCTCGAGTCCTCTGTTCCACATAGCTTGCTTGCATTTACGTAAGTACTTCGCTCGTTTTCTGAGGTCCTTCTCTGGAATGTGGTGACTATCTAATTCCGGTATATAGGTTGGGTTGATGTGCAGGATGGAATTAGGGGTCATAACAGGTAACTCGACATCGTCTTCTACATAACTTAGTGGCCGATTATTGATGGTGTTTTCGATGTCTAGGACCACTTCTTCAAGCTCCATCCAATTCAAATTACCATTGCCGACTGACTTACGAAAAGCACTTTTGAACACCCCAATCAGACGCTCGAATTGCCCTCCCCACCAAGGGGCACGGCTTAGGTTAAATCGCCACTCGATGGAGAGGTTGGCTAGTAGATCATTAAGCTTTTCGTCTTCTCTTACTTCTTTCACCCACTTGGCAGCAGCTTGGAATGTAGCCGCGTTATCTGAGTAAATCAGTTCGGGTCTTCCTCTGCGTGCGATAAATCTCTTTAGACTGATAATAAATTCTGGAGCAGTTAATGACTTCACTAGGTCTAAATGTACAGCTCTTGTAAAGGCCCGTTTACACTTGCAATTTTCGCTGCGATTTCTAGTGTGATTTTCTTCGTCTAATGGATGTGAACGAGTAGATAAGTTATGAATGTTCAGATGAGAGTACATATACTTATATCATTCATAACTCATCTACTCGTTCACATGCATCAGAAGACGAAAATCGCACTAGAAATCGCAGCGAAAATTGCAAGTGTAAACGGGCCTTAAGACTACATGCATATAGGGCGAGGTAAGCCTTTGCTTCCTTCTTGCACTTCAGTGAATACCGTATTGGCCCTGCGAAGTCAACACCGAGTACTTGAAATGGTGTAGTTCCTTGGGTTCTCGTGGTTGGCAGGCTTCCAGGTGGTGGGTCTTGGTAGGCTTTCGCATGAAACCGCTTACATCCATGACATGCTCTCATAATCTTCTTTATCAACCGGCGAAGTCGTGGTACCCAGTACCGTTCTCGGACCTTTGTCATCGTGATCCCGATCCCTCCATGGATTGTAGCCATGTGAGCTTGAAATACCACTTTAGCTGTGAATGGATGTGAATCCGGCAGGTATATGGGATATTCACCTATGATTCTTCCCCGACATTCCAGTACTTGGTCCTCATTGGGCTGAAGGTTGAGCTGTATTTGGTCAGTTCGGAAATGAAGGTCTCCTTCCGCTTCTCTTTGGACCCGTAGTATCCACCACAGTTGTTGTTGTTTGATCTCGCTCGTCTTGATTGGACCAACTTCCCTTTCACGGCCGTCTTTCTTGCAATTTGAGATGAACCGATTAATCCACGCCTCGATTCTTAGTTCCTTAGATAACTGGTATTTGTCAAGCAGTTCGTCAAAGATGTCCGGCTCAATAGTTGCAACAGCAAGGATCTCTTTGATTACTTTGGCTTCGGCTTTAGTTTCTGCAGTTGCTTCTAGTCGCTTGTCTGGTGGCCACTCAGATGGGTTGCTCAACCACGTTGGACCTTTCCTCCACAGCTCGTTGTTCACGACATTCCCTCCCCGACTTCCTATGTCTGCTGGATTATCTGTGGTTGGAACATGATGCCAAGTTATCTGGTTGTGTTGCTGGATCTTGTTGACACGGTTGGCCACGAACTGGTGATACTCGCCTTGGTCATTAATCCAATAAAGAGCGACCGTGGAGTCGAGCCAACAATGAAGGGTCACGCGCTGGATACTGAGTGCTGCTTGGGCATTGGTCACGAGGTTTGCTGCCATATGCCCGGATATTAGTTCTAGTCGAGGAATTGTTAAGTTACGCTTCGCAATTCTTGACTTGGCACAAACCAGTTCTTGGGTGATTTCTTCTCCTTGATTGACAACCGCGTAAACTACTGCGCATACTCCACGAGAGCTTGCGTCCCCAAAGCCATGTAGAGTAACCTCTGATACCGATTGTCGATGTGGTGCAAGTGCTCGAGGGGCCGTAAATGTTTCAAGGGAATCATTCCATTCTTTCCATCGTTTAGTTAACGGTAATGGCAGGCTGGCATCCCATGGTAGTTTTGCGTCACAAACATCACGATAAATTAGTTTACCTACTAACATAGTAGGAGACACAAGTCCTGACGGATCATATATCTTGGCTAATTTTGAAAGGATTCCTCTTTTCGTTGTTGTTCCGAATTGTTTTGTCAGGGTGACACTTAACGTATCTTGTTGTCTGTTCCATGGAAGACCGAGTAGTTTCCCTTCTGGTTGATCAACTCCTCCGAGCTTTCTTTTGGCATAGGTAATCTCTTCGGGTTCTGTTTGTACTTCGTTAGTCGGTTCGAGTTCTGGCGCGTTAGAATGCCATTTATGGATGCTAAACGTTGCATCTTCGAACACTTCAACAACAGCTGCTTTCTTTTGCTCGGTTTCTTCAACAGTTGTTCCACCGCTCATTAGATCGTCGACATATATTGCTTCACGCAGTTCCTTAACGATCTCTGGGTATCGCTCTTCCCAATTGTCAAGGTGTTGGTTTATCACTCCCCCGAGGAGAAATGGCGAGCATGTGAGACCGAATAACGCTCGGGTGAAACGGTACACTTCAATTCCACTAGTGTTTGGATGCTTCCAGTGGAATCGTAACGAGTCCCGTTCTTCCTCCATAATTCGGATTTGCAGGAAGGCTTTCTTCAAGTCGGCGGTAACGAGGATTGGGTAGGTGCGTGATTTTACTAAAACGTCCCATAGGTGGTTTTGTAGCGGGGGCCCTGGATGAAGGCAGTCGTTTAAAGAGGGATGGCTGTTGCTTTCTCTCGCTGACGCGTCATACACTATGCGTAACTTGGTACTTTCTACATCGTTCCTGGTCACGCCTTTATGTGGAATGTAGAACTCTTTTCCCGTAGCCTTTTCTGGCGCTGCTTCGATAATCCCGAGTTGTAGCTGTTCTCGTATAATCTCGTCGTACCTTTCATACTGATCTGTCTGCTCCAATTTCCTTATTAGGTGATCTAGGCGTCGCTTGCTCCCAGTTTCATTGGTGGGTAGAGGGGGGTGGTTCCCTTTCCAAGGTAATTTGGCTTCATACCATCCTGCGTCATTTCTGCGTAGTTGCTCCTTAAATTCCTGGTAGACTGTCTGCTGGTCGTTCTCATTACTGTCGGCAAGACCTAGAACATCCAACGCACATAGCTGTTCATAGTCCGTGTTGGCGGATTTGGTTAATAGAATTGGGCTGTCTACCTCCTCTCTTCCAGGAGACATGATTGTCCATCCAAGGAGTGTTTTCTCTGCAATTGGTTGGCCTGGTAACCCGACTCTTTGGGCTGTTGTGGTTTTAATCATTGCATAATCACTTGCGCCGAGCACTACATGGATTGGAATTTCTGGCCGATTGTCAGGATCATCAAGCTTTGCACCCCTAAGATGGCTATACTTATCTAATAACTTTGCATACAGTGGGTTTTTGACCGACATCAGCTCTGGCTTGTCTACTTTCGATAGTTCAACATTCATGTCGAATTTGTGGTCCAGCGACTTGAGGTTTGCCGAATATATCTCGATTCGAGTTGTCGATGACGTCAGCATCATTTCTATTCTCTTTGTCTTCACTTCTTTGGGTCTTTTCTTTAGAGCATTGATCAGGTTGGTCGAGGCATAGGAACTACCAGCTCCAGTGTCGAGAAGCGTATGGGTTTTAATTCCTTCAACTTCGACAAGTACGATAGGATATATCACCTCCTGGTCTTCTTGTTTTCTGGCAGTCATCGCTGCTTCTGGCTTAGACTCTTTCGGCGCATTACAAATTGACGTATGATGTCTTTTGTTACAATGCCTGCAGGTTGATGTACTTCTACACTCTGATGCTCTATGGGAAGGCCCTGTGCAGTTGAAACACAGTTTCTTCGTTGCCAACAGTCTCTTTCTTTCGTCTAATGTCAAGATTGAATCACATTCGGTTGATCGGTGGCTCTCTGAGTTGCAATATACACAAACTCGTTTTTGCTGGGATTTCCCTTGCTGTGTCTGGAGATGGTACTGGTTTCGCCGCTCTCTCTTGTTTGAATCATCTTGCTTGGCTTCAACTGGATTACGTCGTGTCCACAGTCTGAGGGCCTCAGTAAGTTGAACGTAATTCCACTCTTCCCACTTGGAGTCATTGCGAACCAAGTCTCCCCGAATGTTTGGTAACTTCTCAAGGGTCATAGAAACCGTTCCATTTACAGCATCCAGCTTTTTAAGGGTTTCCAGTGACTGAACAGAATATGCTAACTTTTCGTAAAATTCGAGAATTCTTTTTGGGTTTGATGACGGGGTATAAGGAAGATCGAGTATTTCCTTCACATATGCTTTGACGACCTCACTATCTTTGCCAAATCTGTCTTTCAAAATGGCTAAGGCCCTATTATACCCTTCGGCAGTATATGGCAAAGCTTCAATTGCTTTCTTCGCTTTCTCGCATAATAATTATCTAAGATAAGAAAATTGAGTAACAGGAAGCGTACTTGATTTATCGATTGTTTCAGAATATTGTCCCCCAAATCGAGGCCAATCAGCATATGTTCCATCAAATTTTGTGATTGTAAGCTTGGGTAACCTGGCTTGGATGTTTCCACTTGCGCTTGAAGATATCTCACTCGATGGTGCTTCCACTTTCTTGTGTTCTGCTTTCAGTTTAATTTTTGCTTCTTCAAGTTTAAGCTCGAAATTCATACGCTCTTGTCGATGTTGATCTTCACGTTTGACTTGTGTATCGTTTAACCACTGTTCGAGAAGCCCTATTGTTTGGTCTGCTGCTTCTATATGCTTTTCTATTTCGTTGCTCCATTGATCGATCTCGCTCACTTCTTCCTTCGATGTAATTTTCTCGGCTTCGACAGTTCTATGCCATTTGCTCACTTCTGTTAGCGATTCTTTTAAAGTTTCGATATGTCTTCGAATAACATGTTCCTTACCTCCTTTTAAAACGTTATCCGACTTATCTCTTGCTCTCCCAAGTTGAATTAGTTTTGGTTTTAGTGTAATCTCCGCGGTTTCTCCCGTATTTTCGCCTGTCGCCATGTCGCTTTTATACAAACACTTTGTTTACGACTTTTACACACGCTAAAACATCACAAAATCACAAATATCCCGTTCGTTGAGGTGCCACGTGTTGTGAATTTCTATGCCTCCCTTAAAACGTGTTCACAACAAATCACAAATGGTTGAATTTTAAGTAAATATCAATAATATATTTTGTCACATCTCTGGTTTTCTCACACTCTCACAATCCCTTCACAATACATGCACAACGCCCTCTCTACATCCGGTTTGGAACTTCTGCTATACTCAGTTCCCGAAATTGGCTCGGTAAAAGCGCAAACAAATGTAGCCAAATAACATCGCTCTAAAGTTCCTATCGAATTGCGCAACTGTAGCTGACTGTAGCGCATTGCAGCACTGTGATTGGTTTGCTTCATCTGACTGTAGCAAAAATGCTAAATTTAGTAACTCGTCCCCCCGCGCTGTAGCATTTTGACGTAAGACCCCCAGTTGACTGTAGCATTTGGACGTCATAAATCGCTATATTTAGACCACTTTTCTGAACGCTTTTTGAACGATGTTTACAAAGTTTAGGTGATTTCCCCTAAAAGCGGGCGTTGTTTCGGGTAAAAATCAGGTTAAGATAAGCGCTTATTAATTAATTAAAAACGTAACTTAATATTTGGAGCTCACAAGAAACGTACGGACATCTGGTCGAAGCTGCGGAAGTTGATTTTTTGAGATAGAGAAATTGGAAAACTTCTATAAGGAATTTTTACTATCAACACATTCAGTATTAAAAATATTTTTGCACGAAAATCTGACTGTAGCATTTGCTACAGTTGCTACAGTCTGGATCCGCCCCTACGATGCCTAGCAAATCTGACAGCACGAAATTCCGAAATTTACAGCGAATTGCTATACATCAGGCCAGACTTCTCGTATATCGGTAAATGTCATACAACGTCCTATTTTGAATAATGAAAATTACGGAAACATTGGGAATCATCCTAAGGTCAATGCCAGGTAGACCAAAATTTAAAATTTTGAAAGACCAGCTGCAGTATTCACAGATGTATTTTGTGGTGAATTGGCCACACCATCCAGTAGCTGTACAATTATATATCTAGCCTGTAGTAGAGATGACTGAATATCATCTGACGCCGAAGCTCTTTCATTTTCCGCCATGTTTACTTAAAAAAGCACATGTAATCCAATATCGTGAAAATAATTACGCGCCATTTATATGCACCGTTAGCCCGCGTGCAGGCCCAAGGGAGCAGGCTGAAGGGAACTTGATAGTGGGCCTGCAAGCAAGGCCCGGTATTTTGTACTTTCCGCGTTCGCCCACGAACGCGGCATTCTGATTGGCTGTTTGCTGTTGGATTCTATAATTAGGTCAGTGATTCATCACAAAGGCATAGACAAAGGCTCTCGATAAGCTTAAAATTCGAAAATTGATCACTTTTTTCGATTACAAATGGAACAAGAACAGACTGTTTATTGTTTACTTGAAGGAACAAATGTTTTTGCCGTTATGCCAATGAGGATTGCTTGTCGTGAGGTGTTGGAATAGCAACATTTTAATATTACGAATGGGGTATAAAACTATAGTAACCTTTACTTGAGTTTCATTAATTTCAAACAAACTTGATACGTTATATGTTCCTCAAGAAAATTATCTTTTGGTTGATGTTGAGATGCAGTTGCATGTAAGCCAATTCAAAATACTTTGCGATTTACAAGGCTTCGCTGAGAGAGCAAAAGATAAGACGGTATTAAATTGCCGTTTGAAACGAAACGATCTGGACTCTGAACGCTCTCTTCTTTTGTAGAGTTCTCACCAAATGAAATAACTGAAATAAATTTCGTACTTTCCGCCGCCAACAAGAATTGCACACACGATCTGATAAAGTGAGACAATTTATTTATAACAATGGCGACAGCGAAGCAACATTATAAATGCTGATGTGGTCGCACGACTTCCCTCACGATTTGAAGTTTGAGACTGGTTTTCTGTTGAAATTCGTCTTAATTTGCCTGTTCCGATTTTAGTTGAAAATGAGCACTTGTAAATTTGGCAATTACTGACTGCGTTGGTTTTTTTTTTTTTGTGTTTTAACACAGGCATTTACACATTGTTTCTATTTTGAATATTAAAGCAGAGAAAACCCCGCAACATTTTAATGGTCTGGACTCTGAACGCTCTCTTCTTTTGTAGAGTTCTCACCAAATGAAATAACTGAAATAAATTTCGTACTTTCCGCCGCCAACAAGAATTGCACACACGATCTGATAAGTGAGACAATTTATTTATAACAATGGCGACAGCGAAGCAACATTATAAATGCTGATGTGGTCGCACGACTTCCCTCACGATTTGAAGTTTGAGACTGGTTTTCTGTTGAAATACGTCTTAATTTGCCTGTTCCGATTTTAGTTGAAAATGAGCACTTGTAAATTTGGCAATTACTGACTGCGTTGCTTGTTTCTTTTGGAGTTTTAACACAGGCATTTACACATTGTTTCTATTTTGAATATTAAAGCAGAGAAAACCCCGCAACATTTTAATGCGAGTTTGTTTGTTAATATTTGGGTTGCTGTCATTGGTTCTTTTTTGACAATTGACGCGCGAATGGGGCGTGTTATGAAAAGGGGCGTTTTACAAAATACCGGGCCTTGCTTGCAGGCCCACTATCAGTTCCCTTGGGCCTGCACGCGGGCTAATGCACCGTTTTCGCCCCATTTGGAGCTAGTGCCCAATTGCATCACGGGATTGTACTTGCCAAATGTACGATTGTTGGAAAATATTAAAACGATACGTTTACTAGTATGTTGTTGCAAAATAATACTTTGTCATTGAATGCTTTGTTATTGTTAATAAATGTCTTGTAACCGCCACAAAATTGTAGCAATTAAAAGGTTACTTTATCGTTGCCAAATGTGTTATTATTGTAGCAAAATGTTACGTTATCATTGCCAAATGTGTTATTGAATTTTGACACACATCATCCGCCATGTGCAGAAACCCTCGCCTTGCTGACAAAGTCATTGTATTTTCCGAACATGAAGTATCTAAAGTAGTTGTCATGGTAGCACGACAATTTTTTAAGAATATTCTTTACAAGGCTTACAAAATGAAAAATCGCCAAAAAATATCACTTTTAATTACAAAATTATCACTTTCCCAACATATGTATGTTAGGTATGATATTATTCGTAATATAAGCTTCAAATTAAGGTAAAATTCAACCGCAAACGCTTCGCAAAACGTTTTAAAGTGTTCTTTATAAAACCAAACTCGAGACTATTGAACTGCCTTTAATTAAATGGCTTTATCGAATTTCGGTAAACTTTGAGTTTGCAATAAAATGATTTCAAATTCTCGCATGCAAATAACTTTGCTTTCTTTTTTATTTAAAAAATTCAATATAATAAAAAAGGGAATCAATATTAAAGATACACTGAAATTATATGCTGTCTTGTTTAGTTGTTTCATATACGCAAAGGGGCAAAGGCCGTCGGGTTTTAAAGCAAGTATAAAATGAATATTTAAAACAAACTTACCTTCGTTAACGTCGGCTTTCTTCTTTTAGCCGATTCTTTCGCACTTTCTTTCTGAGAAAGCTTTTCAAATTTACAAAATCTTGCAAAAATGCGAGCAAAAATGAAATATATATTTGCAAGAAATTTATCAATCATCAAATCAAGAAAATTAAGAAATGTTTGCTATTTCGCTGTCGTCATGCAGTCGTTATAATGCAAACTTTAAAGTTAACCAATCAGTGCCCGCTATTCATGACAGTCCACCATATTTTTGAGATCAGTGAGGATGACCACCCGCCCAACACCCCAACACCGTTGGTCACTCAAACCAGCGCTCATTGATGAACTTTTATAGACTTCGCTAATGCTTTCGTTTCCCCGGGTGTAAATAGCCAAGGGGGGAATTAGTACCCTCGCACGGCGCTTCGCGCCGTCGGCTCGGGGATCTATCCAATAGGAACCGTTAATAAGGGGTGGAGCATTAGATATCCTGGGAGGGGGGATGGCAGATCCAAAAAAAAATCATGCAAGCAGTTGGACTAGAAAATAAAATTCCTGCAAGCACTTTGGGAAAGAAAACAAATTCGTGCAACTTCATGAGAAATCCAGGTAAAACTTACTGAGCGCGGGCAGTTTAATAGCTAATATGGCTCATTTTAAGATATTTATAACTTTACATGCAGTACTTGTGATACATGTACTTGATGTACGTACAGTGCATGTGTACATGCTGTAAAACATTTAATAACATCAATAACATTATAGATTGAAACTAATTAGTTTATATATAGAGCATATCAGGCCCGAAACGCGGCTAAGAGTCAACCGAGTCAGTCAACTCGGTAAGATTTTTTGTAAAAAAATTCAAAACAGAATCTTGTTGGAGAAAACAGATCCTGAATGAAATTTATTCAATTTCTGATGAAGGGTAGAAGACTAGGCTAGTAAAAGTGCGAATTAGTGTCCCAAATGTAATATTATTACCACAAACATGTTTTTTTTTTATTATACATGCATGCACCTGATCGTGTTGAACCAAGAGTACTCGAATTCTTATGATTGGATATTAATTGTAGTACAATTGTGAGACACACTATAAAATTATAGTCATTGTGTCACTTATGAGATTGATTTTTTTTGAAAACTGCTCCCAGAATGCAGGAAGACTATGAAATTATATATAGTCATTGTGTCACTGTTTATGGGATTGATTTTTTTCTTAAAACTGCTCCCAGAATGAAGGAAGACTATGAAATTCTATAGTCATTGTGTCACTGTTTATGAGATCGATTTTTTTCTTAAAACTGCTCCCAGAATGCAGGAAGACTATGAAATTATATAGTCATTGTGTCACTGTTTAATTATTGTATATGATCACTGATATTTTGTTAAAATTGCTCAGTAAATCTAAAATCTTAGTTACGGGTCTCGGGGTCTGCATATGTGCACACTATCATTAATATTAATTAAACATACTAATATTGTAATATGGGTGCACCAGAAGTTGTTTTTTTAAATATGAGATTGAATGAAAAAATACATTCACTGTTTTGGAATTAACTAATTTTCACACAAGAAAGTATTTCTTGTATTTCTGCTTGACACCTATGAACTGACACCTTCCATGTCACTATATGATAGATTTTAATAATTGTAATGTATTAAACTTTCATACGATTGCTCAATGGGGAAATTTTGTGCCAATAACCAACATAATTGCTTCGCTACATTGCCGCCATTTTTTCTGTATCAGTAGAGAGAGAAATAGGTAGGTAAAACCGTTTCAAAAAAATTCCTGCGCAGCTTCTACTCCGACAAAGCTTAGAACTCAAAGAGATAATGGGATAATTGCAGGGATAATCCCCCCCCCCCCAGGATATCTATTGGTCCATCCCAAATGTCATGTTTCTTTACAGATGTATAAAAAGGTAATCGAACTTCAGCACGCTATTGTACGTGAATTACTCTGCGTAAGACCACATTTTTTCATAATCGGAAAGATCAGGCTTTTAGAACATTTAGCTGTTGAACGACATGTTTTTCATGCCATTGGAGAAAAATAAGCAAGTACGAGTCCGATAAAAAATGTTAGTCAGAACAGCATATTTTCTATTTGTGCCACTGCCTAATTAAAGCAGTGCATAACAAAAAAAAAAGCAATTAACCACGAACTTGTCGCAGCTTAGCTAATATTTATGCATACTTAATAATAATCATAAATATGTGTGTAGTTTATTCAGTTAAGTGAAATTCATCAACTGAATAAGTACCGAGGGGGGTTAATTTTCAATGGTCTTAGATCCAACTCTCAGCGGTGAAAATATGCGATTCTGACTAACATTTTTTATCGGATTCGTATTTGCTCATTTTTTATCCATTTGGCAAGAGGAACATATCATTCAACAGCTAAAATCGCTACCAGCCTGATCTTTCCGAAGACGAAAAAATCTCGTTCATACGCAGAGTAATTCAGATACAATACCGCGCTGACGTTCGATTGCCTTTATTTTGATACACCCTGTATAAAATCAACATTCCGTATGGAAATTATTTATAGCATAATTACTGATTGACAGGCGTATCGATTTCGACCAATGGGAATTTTGCGTTATGTGGGCAACGCGCATTTCGCTTATTGATGTGTTGTCGGGGTCCCTTCTTTCCTTTCGCATGCCCGGAAATCTAAATTCGCGGAAAGGAGGGACCGCTCGCACTCTATTTATTCTTTATCTTTAATACTTAAACATACTTAAAGAGCCCTTTGCAAAATAACAGCTCAGAGTATATAAATTCCAAATTGTTTATTATTTTGAGATTTCGTGTTTAATGCACACGGGCTCGTATCACGGATACGAGCCCGCGTGTATTAAACACCAAATCTCAAAATAATCTCTAAAATTATATTAAGCAAGAAAATAAACCAATGCCAAGTGTCTTGAAAACAAATTAATTGGCTCAACCTAAACAACCGAGTTAAATAGTGTCGAAATATATGTCTGGTACTTACGCATTACACAGGAGTAGTTGACTTCCAAGTACTTTCTTATTCTGGGACAAGGATCAGTTAATTTTAATAAATCTGCCATAAATGGCGAAGCACTGAGATCGCACGCTCTTCTATGATCACAATAATTCTTCAAAGAAGATGTTGTAGTTGGAATTTCCTTTGCACCACAACCATTAAAACTTTGTAGACTGGAGCAATGATGTCTTTCTAGTACTCCCCAAAACGCTGTGGTAATATTTATAACAAGTCCAAAAGGGCATCTTATCGTTACAAGTCCATGTTCACAAATTAATGCGTATTTCGTTATGCCTAGAAAAAAACGACAGCTATATTTCCTGATCCATTGACACGCTAATTTAATGCCGTTTCGAATGTAACCCAGTGGGGAGGGTATTAATTTTGGTATAAACGTCCGGGTGTGTCAGAGAGATGAGAGAGCGTAATTATAGCTATAGCGTATTCACAAACACTCGTGTGTTATGTCAAAGACGTTCGATGGTTTTGTTCGTCAAGTTCATGCGCAAACAACAAACCGAAACTACACTGTCACTGGTAATTATCAAGATATGCAATGATTGGTTAAGATTAAGATGTTGCAGATCAATGTATACACTATAATTTAATTCTCATTTTGCATGAACAAACGTGGAGGTGGTATTCCTGGCATTATAGGCTAAAGGCCGTTTTCCACCAGGTGAGTTTTTATAAATGTAATGTAATTTTATAAATTTATAAATAAATGTCTCAGTATATTTATCGAACGATCTCTTACTCCCTTAGCCTCATTTTAATAATAGATTCTTTTTGCCTTTTTATAATGACCAACAACAAGGCTAAATTTTTTATTTAATTCAATACGACGTTTACTCCATCATCAGGTAAAAAACTACAATCTGCGATCTAAAAACGTTAAAACTACAATAAACGTCAACGCTTGCAACCGTTGCATGCTCGCGTGCAAGGTTGCGCAAGCATGCATATAAGACATATAAATTGCAAGTCGGAGAAAAATATCATAGGTCTCCCGAAAAGGTCTTTTATATTTCAAAAAAATCCATACAATTTGCTTTAAAATGCAATGCTTTGTTTGACATGCAATGCTTCAATGTACAGAAAAAACCTCTATAATTTGTATTACATGAAGTACGTGTAACATCACAATAGCGTTGCGTCATTATGTAATATATCCCCCCAAGATTGGCAACTAAATACAAATTTAAAACTGTATACACAAACTTAATGACGAAAAAACTCGTACATAAACATCGAAATTCATTTAAAAAACTAACTCACTATAGTAAGACATAACTTTAAGGTGGCTCCCTACAGTTCTCTAAAATTCTAGGTATTTTGAGTAACGTTCGCTTTGAACCGAACTTATATTAGATAAACGATGATCATTTCCAGGAAAGTTCAGAAGCTGTGTGCTGTCCATTTATGAACAAATTAAAACAGTGTTCGTGTTGCCATGGTAACCATGATGTTTAATCTTTTGCACTTTTATTGTCTAATTTCACAATAAATTGACAATATCTATATTCTCCTTCGGTGAATTTTTCTGAAATTTGTTTTGAAGATTTATGGCCCATAAAGGAAAAATATATCAAAATTTGAAGGGAATTTACAAATAAGTTTTCGAGATATTCGTGAATGACGAATACAGAAAAAGTTATGTGTAGAATTTCTTAGAATTTGGATATGTTGTACCACTCGTCTTGTATAACAAAAATACAAAGTTTAAAAAAATTTCACCGAAGAAAACACGAGAATATCATCGCTAAAATCGGCGTGGCCAGCACTGAAAAAAATCGACTCGACATGAGCACGATCTGCGCATGCGTGTAAATTGTAGCGTGTGATGTATAGTGATTTCAACTTTTTGGCTTACAATACATACGAAAACAGATATTTCTGACTTGTTTGGCATGAAAATAAAATATTAATCTTGAAAATACTAATAAAAAAAACACTATTATTCGCATTGTATTAAATCCAGTGTTAGTTTACATTTGTTTTTGTTGTTAAAATCGGTGTGAAAACTTTTCAAAACATCGAACTACAAGTTTAACTTTTCATATAAAACAACTCATAACTGTTTTATTTGATTTAGCAGATAAAACGATACCTGTGAATTGAATTGAATTGATTGACAGAACTTACATAAGTTTCGGCGACAGTTCACTACTGTTCAAGAGTTATAGAAGACAGTATCATTTCAGTTTGACAGTTCGCAACACAACAAGATGAAAATTTTGAGCAATATGAAAGACAATACTGAACGTAAATACGTAAAAACACACTAAAAGATTGGCTAAACTAGTTAATAACATACGTACTGTTCGAATTCACAAAAAAATTAGGATTATAATGAAAAACTGGAGCTTTCTTTGTAGATAAAAACGCCAAAAAACTTCCCGCGGCTTGTTTCAATATTTTTGCCGAACAGTATTACCGAAATCAGTAGAGTGTCTTTTCCGGAAGTTGAAAAGACAGTCGAAAGCCAGTAGAAACGTTCATGTTTTATGACGTCACGGTGAAGGAATGCAGCGTGGAACTTGTAAGTTATTTTACTTATTAGTAAACTTTATTTAGTTTGACAAATTGCCAATGGCTCGCCAAACACAGAACAAGCTTTTGAGCAAAGGGAGAAGTTCTAGGGTGAGGCGGTAAAACCGATGTTTTTTGAAAACCGAATTACTCGATGTTACTTTTGGAGAAAGACCGGAAAACCGAAAAAACCGGAGGAAAACCGAAATCGAACCATACTTATACGGGTCTGTTGCAAATGAATCAACTTTGGCATTTACACACGAAAACTAAAGAGATTTTGTTTAAAATTTGATAACATCTTCAAAATACCTTACGTTTAATATCATTCTACAATTTCGCGCGAGCTTGAGGTCTTGAACGGATAAGCGGATCAAACGATGGTGAATTTTGATTCGCTGGTAATAAAGGCGGACGTCTGCGAAGACAGGTTTAAGATATTCATATAGCGTGTTGTGTCTTTTTTAAACCGTTTAAAGTTTACTAATAAGTAAAATAACTTACAAGTTCCACGCTGCATTCCTTCACCGTGACGTCATAAAACATGAACGTTTCTACTGGCTTTCGACTGTCTTTTCAACTTCCAGAAAAGACACTCTACTGATTTCGGTAATAAACAGGACGATTCCACGCGCAGGTCGCGAGGATGAAGTCTGATCTATGTAAATCGTATTTAAACTGTACTAACTGTAGGGAGCCACCTTAATACTTCTACATTGTATTTTTTTATTCTCTCATCACTTTAAAACGAGTTAATTTTGTGAAAATTTCGAGGAAAATGGCTCAATTTGGTCAAAACTATGCGGGATGACTGCTCCCGGCGTTACGTTACAAAATAAGGCTCTCTGATTTGCTGAAAATGTTTAAAATTTCAAAAAAACTCTTTGATTGGCTGGATGAAATTTCCCAGCGAATCACGGAGCTTTATTTTGTGACGTAACGCCGGGAGCCATCATCCCGCATAGTTTTGATCAAATTGAGTTACGAATTTGATGAAATTTCCTCGAAATTTGCACAAAATTAACTCGTTTTAAAGTGATAAGAGAACAAAAAAACACAATGTAGAAGTATTAAAGTTATGTCTTACCATAGTGAGTTAGTTTTTTAAATGAATTTCTATGTTTATGTACGAGTTTTTTCGTCATTAAGTTTGTGTATACAGTTTTAAATTTGTATTTACTTGCCAACCTTGGGGATATATATTACATAATGACGCAACGCTATCCTGATGTTACACGTACTTCATGTAATACAAATTATAGAGGTTTTACTGTACATTGAAGCACAGTTTTTAAAATTATATTAAATATCATTAAACTGTGATTGAAGCATTGAATGTCAAAGCATTGCATTTGAAAGCAAATTGTATGGATTTTTTTGAAAAATAAACGACCTTTTCGGGAGACCTATGAAAATATTACCATAATTAGATCAACACTGCAATAGTTACTATGGTCTGTTTTTATTTACACTACAAAGTCCAAAATATTCAGCTGTTCGTATTTGCCATTCAAATCCGGTTTAAGTTGCTGGATAAACAAAGGTTCAGCAATTTTTCGCTCCAAAGATCCCTTTGGTTTTTTTTATTAATATTTTAACCGAGAGTTTTGGTTTTTGACCAAGATGGTGTTTTCTATAAAGCCATTTCGCAATCGGGTTTGCTGCAGAGCGGTAATTACTATATATTTAGACTGTTCGTATTTAGTTTATTAATATGCTTTAGCAATACCTGTTATTTAAGGTCATGCCAATAAAGCTATTATAAATTGAAATTGGACCACTAATGGTCAACTTGTCTCGCTGATATAAGATGCATGCCCTGTAAAGATCACAACTCAATTGAGACTTTGGAGCGGATGAGGTTCTGCAAATTTGGAATTTTTGGCATTCTTGCATTCTTTGTCATAAGGTCGAGATCTTCGTTAACGTCGGCGCCTTTGCTCGCTTCTTTTAGCTTATTCTTTCGCCTTTTTCTTCTCAAAAAGCTTTTGAAACTTACAAAATATCGCAAAAATGAAATATATTTGCAAGAGATCATCAAATCAAGACATTTTTGCTATTTCGCTGTCGTCATGCAGTCGTTATAATGCAAGTTTTAAATTGGACCAATCAGTGTTGGCTATATTCATGACAGTCCACTATATTATGAGATCAGTGAGGATGACCACCAACCAAACACCGAAGCACGCATGGCAACCAACGCCCGCGATCATTGATGAACTTTATACTTCGCTAATGCTTTCCTTTCCCCAGGGGTAAATACCCGGGCGGAATTAGTACCCTCGCACGGCGCAACAAAGGGATCTTTGGAGCGAAATATTACGGAAGTTTTGTTTATCCAGCAACTTAAACCAGATTTGAATGGCAAATACGAACTGCTGAATATTTTTGACTTTGTAGCGCAAATAAACACATACTTCTGTAATTTCAGTCCTAATTAATCTAATTATTGTAATTCTAATTAAATGTCGGACACGCAATTTATATGCTTGCGCCATAGAGATTATAAATAACACTTGTAATCGTGTTATTTATAATCTCTATGGCTTCGCAACCTTACATGTGAGCAATGAGCATGCAACGGTTGCAAGCGTTGACGTCAAGTCTAATCTAATCTAATCTAACCTAACCTAACCTAATCTAACCTAACCTAACCTAACCTAATCTAATCTAATTTAATTTAATTTAATTTAATTTAAATTGTGAAATTTGCTGTATATGGGAATTATTGTGATTTATCACCCCATGTATATGAAATGTCAAGACGGCCAACAAAACCATGAACATTTGCATAGTATAAATGATTGCTATATCTGCATAATCTGTTGCTGACTTATTTGTTCCATGCTTTATTGCAACTTCAAGACTGTACTAGAAAATATACACACACAAATATGTATAAATAGGATATACATAAAAGATTCTGCATGAATTGACCGGGTCTAAACTTCTATTAATTATGTGCATTACAAGAAAATATATTTGGCTGACAGAGATCAGCCTGGTTTTGCGACCTGCAATGGCCACACATATAATTATAAGCAGCCCCAAAATTGAATATCTACAATCCAATTATTTATTATGACAGCGCGCGCAAGAATACAAAACCTGTCTTGCCGAAGCAAAAACAGCATTTTTTTTAACTGTTAAAAGCTTATAAATTGGTTATGTGATAAAACGTGACTGTGTCCGTTTTAGCGATTGCAGAATACCCGTCCACTTTTGAAGACCACACTTGTTATCATGATACGATGATGCGAAGTGAAAATGATTACGTAATAAGTATATAACTGCACTATTATAAAAGGCTGGGTAACCTATATTTTTGCGTGATACGATGATACGAAGAATTGATAAATATGTCTGTGAAAAATTAAATTAGATACGTTGGTATTTTCAAAGAACGAGGCAATTATATTATTAAATTTTATATTATTAAAGAAAGAAGTATACGCTGTTTAGTTTATGATTTTTATTATAATGCGGCTTGCTTATTAAGTAATCATGTTCGTATGGTCGTATCACGCAAAAATATAGCTTACCCAGGCTTTTATAATAGTGCGGTTATATAGTTATTACGTAATCATTTTCACTTGGTATCATCGTATCATGATATCAAGTGAGACCTTCAAAAGTGAACGGGTATTCTGCAATTTAGTCAAATCTTCTAACATGCGTTTTCTCCTTAACTTTCACTTTCTATTTAAATTTTCAAACTCATGAATAGAAAGTACTTACTTGAATTGTTCACGTTCACTGGTTTTACTTTCAGCTCTACAAAAAGGAAGTGATAGTCATAATTCGATTGTTTATTAAAGGTTATGGTTATGCACTAAGCATCAAGGGCTTAACAAAATATGCTAATTTCCACTCCGGAAAATAAGCACCGGATCGGAGTATGGTCCAATACCACGATACGACATGGATCGTGGATTTGGTAACTACATTGTGCAGATGGTGAATTGGTTCACTGATGGTGAAGTGGTTTCACGATCCGTAAACCATATGGACGATATGTGCACATGGTGAATTGGTTGACGGATGGTGAATGTGGTTTCACGATCCGTGAATGATGCGCATGGTGCCACAGGGTAGACCCCAAAACACTGACGATCCGTGCAGATGGTGCGCATGGTGAATTGGTTGACGGATGGTGAAAGTGGTTTCACGATCCGTGAATCATGCGCATGGTGCCACAGGGTAGACCCCAAAACACTAACGATCCGTGCAGATGGTGCGCATGGTGAATTGGTTGACGGATGGTGAATGTGGTTTCACGATCCGTGAATGATGCACATGGTGCCACAGGCTAGACCCCAAAACACTAACGCAGACCTTCCAACCTCTGAAACACCCAAACCTTGAGATCCCAATAATTTCCTTGGAGAAACCTTGAGATTTGGGTCCCAAACCTTGAGATTTTCAAATTTTTCGAAAACGAAGAAACGTCAACAATAACAAATATTAGAAAGATTTAAACTGTCATAGTAAGTGTTTCTTTAGCTAAAACTAAGTCTAAACAGATGCTAAATATAGCTAAACGAATGCAATCAATGTCAGGAAATTATCTACACTGTAACTGTCACCGTCGACTGATTAACAAACAACCATATACTATATTAAATACAACAAACTGTAACAAGACAGACAAGTTCCTTAGATGGTAGGAACAGCAGTATCTTCTACGTCAAACTGCTCACTTTCCGCATCACTGCTGTCATTGTTTCGTTCCGCCATCTTGAACACGTGGCATGCTATCACACAGTCGTGCGCGAACAAACGCGTGGACACTCAATTATCAATGCGCTAGATAACGCGTATTTAGTACGAGCAACAAAAGTTTTATTATTATCTATAGACTATTATACGTAAAATTTATAAGTCAAGTTGATCGAACTGAAATGAACTGAACACATAAATTTGATTTCATTTTAGGTTGTTTTTTATTGAGATTGCCATTTTATTGACTTATTCAGTATTGTGAAAAACCGTGAGATTTAGAGGTTAAACCGTGAGACCGTGAGATGAGACCATAGATATCTTACATACACTAGATAGCGCATCTCTTTTAGTAAAATTGAAGCCAAGAATATTCCAGCGGTTACCCCCATTTGAATAGATGGCGGCCATGTTGGTCGTTCCCACTTGCTAATAAACGCTTAAAAAGTGAATAGTTTAAAAATGTATTTGGAATAGGGTTAACTTAATGTTTAAGTTCCCTGTTTAAGAAATAAAAAACATACGAATCTTCTTATTTCATGGGAACGACCTGAGACTGCAATCACGGCTTCAATTTTTGAATTGCATAATAATTAGATGCACTATCTAGTGTATATAAGATATCTATGGATGAGACCTTAAACCGTGAGTCTCACGGTCAAACCGTGAGAGTTGGAAGGTCTGCTAACGATGCGTGCGGATGGTGCGCATAGTGAATTGGTTGACGGATGGTGAATGTGGTTTCACGATCCGTGAATGATGCACATGGTGCCACAGGGTAGACCCCAAAACACTAACGATCCGTGCGGATGGTGCGCATGGTGAATTGGTTGACGGATGGTGAATGTGGTTTCACGATCCGTGAATGATGCACATGGTGCGACAGGGTAGACCCCAAAACACTGACGATCCGTGCGGATGGTGCGCATGGTGAATTGGTTGTTTTCCTTGGTTTGTGAAGAATGGATATCAAACTGACAAATCAAACTCGGATCAAAGTATTTGCCGATCATGCGATTATTAAACCATATTGCCATATCTTGAGTACTCCATATCTTACGGCAAGTCTGTGCGCAGACTAGCCATATTTCCGATGGGATCATGATGAATATATTTTGTCTGAATAGCTTTATATTTTAAAGGTGAATAGCAAAACAAAAAAGTTTTATTCCACACTGAACGTCGAACCAGCTATAAATAACCATTATGAAGTACGCATGAGATTCAACATGACATTCAACATGATATTCGATGTCGTGTAAGTTAACTAATTTCAATCACTCAAAAGTCAAAATGATAAATAATACAGCTATTCTTCTCTCCCAAATCAATTTGTGAGAAACAAACCATGTAGGTCACATTAGCTAACTAGTACCTTCATGGTTATCCGCACACAAACCGACAAACACATCTAAAAGCACTCCAAAACGATACTTTCCTAACAGCTATTCACACTGCCAATATAAAATGGCTTATTGCATTTTTAATCCACACCCCCACCCCCCACCCTATGGAGGACATCCATTTTTTGGACCCCCTCCCCTGGAATTCCACAGATGTTGATGAATTCCGCGATTTTTTACAAATTTCCAGCCTACCCCATGGAATTTCCACAGATTTTTGACGAATTTCTACTCATCCCTTGGAAATTCCACCAATGGTTTTGACCTAGTCTCTGGAATTTCCACATTTTTTGTTTAATAGGTAACCATCCCTTGGAATTTCCATGTTGTTTTTTTAACCTACCCCGTGGAATTTCCACAGATTTTCTTTAAAATTTAGACCCTCCCTTGGAAATTCCTGCTTTTTTTGTTGAATTTTAGGAAGGGGGCCCTGGAAATTCCAGTATCCTCCATAGTGGGTGTGTGGTTTAAAAATGCAGTAAGCCAATATTAAATACAATTTATCAAGAATTTTAAACTATAAATTTCTCCGCTCCTATTCTATAGCATTTTTTAAAACTTTCATATCTTGTACAAATTTATCTCCTCTTTCTACTGGTTATTGAATATTGTGTGGCTCCTGTAATACTTCTATGTGCTTATAGAAGATTTATTCATAAGTAAAAGATACACGTCTGATTATGTCTAGGTGTTCTAGCGAGTCCTTGAGGTTTCTATTACAATTACATGTGCTAGTGATTATGATGTGAACTGTCAATCAACCTAATTGATGTATGTATATAGCTACTATATATGAGCATATATTACATCCCCCTTTTTCTAAATTAAAAGTAATTATTACCAAAATATATATAACGTAAAATGAATTATTTAAGAAATCAAGTCTATGTTTGGATTACGTGTTCGATTCAATATTTAAGTAAACGTATTCAAACAATATTATTATTATTATTATTAATGTTAAACACTCCCAGAAGGGTTTTTCAGTGTTCAATACAGAAGTTATAAAAAGTAATTACTTAATTAAATTATATTCTAAAAACTATATAATATACTATTAACACCAAAATATATAATATCAAGCTAGTTATATTTAAGGTAAAATACTTATTAATACTATTTAATTTAAAATTTAGTCAGTAAAAGATGTAATTCAGTTCTATTCATCGACAAATTGTTGAACCAAATAACTTCGTAGCCCGCTTTTAAAACGTTCCAAATTAAGATTATGGTCTTTTAGCCATTCTGGCAAACTGTTCCATAAACAAGAAGCTCGGTAGCGAAAAGAACGTTGTCCGGTCGCTGTTCTATATAAAGGTATTTCCAATAATTCGCAAGATCTTGTGTTCAAATTGTGTAATTGTGATCTTGTTTGGAACATACGACATAAATATGATGGGGCCATACCATTAACACACTTATAAGCCATTACTGTATCTCGGAATCGCAACATATAATTGACTGGTAACCAGTTAAGCTGTTTTAAAGATGGAGTGATATGGTCGAATTTTTTTGTGCCCGTGACAATACGTGCTGCGAAGTTCTGAACTTTTTGCAATTTTGCAATGTTTTTCTTCGATGAATTAGACCATATGGTTGAACAGTAATAGAGTTTACTAAAAACCAACGCGTTTATTAAAGAATTAACGTCTTCATATCAAAAAGGTGCCTTGCTCTATTAAATTGACACAGGCTACCGACACAAGAGGAAACCAGTTTTGTGACGTGTTCATCGTACGTCAAACCACTATCCAGTGTCACGCCTAGATCAGTGGCTGAGGTCACAGGAAACAGTTTTTTCCCCAATAGTAAAATATGGAAATCTGCCGGTATCTGTTTCAACATATAACGAGTTGCGAACACAAGTAATTTCGTCTTATTGGAATTAATAATTTCGTCTTATTGGGATTAATATGGCAATCATGCTCGATATGTTCACGTCTTGTAGTTCGGATTCTGGTTTATCCGTCTGCCATAACGGCTTGTCTTCAGTTGAGGTAGGTTTGGCGCTTTTGGGATTTGGATGTTGTTTCTTTCTGCAGTGGTTGTTGGTAATTGTGTTTTCGCTGGTCTTTCCCCAATGCGTCGACATTGACGGAACTCTGATCGCTTAGCGACTTCACTTGCTTGCGAAATACTTCGGATGCTCGGCATATATCCAAGGTTTTCTGCAGAGTTAACTCGGATTCACGAAGTAGACGTTCTTTAATACTTTGGTTACGAATTACACAAACTATCCGGTCACGAATTAGCCGATCGTGAAGTGTCTCAAATTCACATGTTGCTGCGAGAGTGCGCAAAACAGTCACATACTGGTCGATGCTTTCGTTTTCGTCTTGATTCCGTATGTTGAATTTGTGTCGTTCGAACGTAATGTTCTTTCTCGGGTTACAGTAGGTTTTAAACGCTGATTTTAGCTCGTTTGTTGTTCTTTTCCACGTTGTTGCCCCCTCTTGGTTTGTCTATGTTTCTGGCGTTGCGAACGTCAAGGTCTTGTGAACTTCTCGGCCTTTCTCTCCAATGCATAGAAGAAAGTATGAGCATCTTTCGTCTTCAGACCGTCCTTTCAGCTCAGTCTTCTCGAAGAGCGTCCAGTGCTCCTCAAACTTGCGAAAGTTTTCACTGACGTTCCCGTCTAATTTCAAAGGTTTAGGCGCTGCCCATTGAAGGTTTCCTGATGCCATGTTTACTGCTTTTTATGGCATCCCACTCCTGACACCATGTAATACTTCTATGTGCTTATAGAAGATACACGTCTGATTATGTCTAGGTGTTCTAGCGAGTCCTTGAGGTTTCTATTACAATTACATGTGCTAGTGATTATGATGTGAACTGTCAATCAACCTAATTGATGTATGTATATAGCTACTATATATGAGCATATATTACAGCTCCGGCCTATAAACAATCGAAATTCGGCACCAAACTGTACTGTATTATCTGTAAGAGAATACTAATTAAGCGCGCACGCAACCTCGTACCCAGGATCTCGCACGCACTGTCAAGAATAGCATTTTAAACTATTAATTTCTCAGCTGCTATTCCATAGGATTTTTTAAAACTTCCATTTCTTGTACAAAATTATCTCCTCTTTCCACTGGTTATTGAATCTTGTGTGGCTCCGGTCTGTAAACAATCGAAATTCGGCCCCAAACTGTTCGGTATTATCTGTAAGAGAATACTAATTAAGCGCGCACGCACTGTAAAGAATAGCATTTTAAACTATAAATTTCTCAGCTGCTATTCTATAGGATTTTTTAAAAACTTCATATATTGTACAAGATTGTCTCCTCTTTCCACTGGTTGTTGAATCTTGGTTGGTTCCTTTTTCGCGGACTTTTGGAGAACGAAGCATGGCAATCATATATGAAGATGTCAGTAAACATATATATGAGCTATTGTAATAACAAAACACATTGATATGTGAAAATGTAAACGTATGTGCAGTAATAAGAATGAAAGAGGCATACACATGCATTGATATATTAAGAATTTAAAATGTTTAATATACATGACTCATGAGGTAATATTATTACCTCATGAGTCGTGTAAATTATACATTTTAAATTCTTAATATGTCAATCTTTCATTGACTGCTATTATTAGTAATAAGAGAACGAAGCATACGCATTCATATATGAAGATGTAAACATATATGAGTTATTGTAATAACAAAACACATTGATATATGAAAATGTAAACGTATGTGAGGTAATAAGAATGGAAATATCTGTTTATTTTCACCATACGCACGATGTGCACGGATCGTACGGATTTAGTGGCCAGGGCATCAATTGCATGATTAGTGTTTGTTGCACTGTTGGAGGTAAACACGCGTGTTACGGATCGTGAGGTACATTTACGATCTGTGTCACATAGTGATTGTTTGACCATGTGTTACGAATCGTGAAGTATATTCACGATCTGTGTTGCATCGTGATTGTTTCACACTTTCACCATGTGTTACGGATCGTGAACTATGTTCACCATCCGTGGCCCATCGTGATATTGGACATGTATGCCTGCGTAAAGGCTAGTTTCCACTCAGGAAAATTATCCGTGGATTGTAACAGACAAGAAAATTTTTCTTTGTCTTGTGTGCTCTGGGTTGGAACAAATGACTTCAACACAAAGAAAAATTTTCTTATCCGTTCCAAACCATGGATAATTTTCCAGTGTGGAAACTAGCCTTAACGGCTCTCAGGGAAGAAGAGCCTGCACGAGATCTACTGTTTTGCCATTCCCGCCCACTTAGCCTACAGGCTACGCCCACTTTTAGCAGATCGATGTCAAAATTGGCCAATCACACAGATTGTTTACGTTTGCAGATTTACTTGTCAAAATGAAATAATATAGATTGCTTTACGTTTGCAAATTTCAAAACGAAATAATATACGGAGGTCGGCTAAGGAAAATTGAAGTCTGTGGGAATAGCACTACAGCAGTCTCCGTCGTCCGATCGTCGTCACAAGTAGATTGAAGTCCGTGTGGAGAAAGCTACGGAATCTCGTGGACTCGCACAAATTAGTTTTGACAGCGGTCAACCGTAATGTAAATGTCAAAACGTCCAGCGATGCAGGGAAGAAAAAGGTGTCAGAAGCCGTCACTCAAGAGAGAGCAAGTCGGCTGTTCGTTAGCACAAAATTATTAGCTACAAAATCATCAAGAAAAAACTATTTGTCGTCGATGAAAACGAACACGCTCGTGAAAGAGACGCGGCTAACAGAAAGCAATCCAACGAAGACACCACGGTCACTAGCTTACGGTGTAGACCCCAGCAGAAACACGTAGGCCGGGCAAGCTTTTCTTCGTTTATTCGTAGACCCTTCACGAAACGTGTTTTTGCTGGCGTCTACACCGTGGGCTACACAGCCACTATCTCTAGAGCTTTATGAACAAATTAAAGTTCGTGAACATCTTTTTTGTTTATCCTTAAATGCAAATCGTGGCCTTTAAGCTCTTTTGAATGCAAAACTCAAGAAACACCTCCCAAATGCATCTGCCGTGTTTGTTCGTAATCAAACTATCAATCACTGATTATTTTAGCAAAAATTAGCATATTTTTCATTTTGAACCAATCAGATTTCTCGTTCTCTGCGAGAACGAGTAAAAATAGGTACGCTACGCGTACACGAATCTACGAATAGCAATAAATTGTTGCCCCATCCTACCCAGTAGTCAATTGACAGCTCTAAGAAGTGAATGGCCGCCAAGCACTAGCTAGTCTAGAACATAATCAGAAAATAATATATGTGTGCATAAACAGGTCATTGATATACCAGTAATTTGCGCTAAAACGGTTATTCCGGATTAAAATATTTACAATTCTAATTGCAGGGCGATACTTAGTTGCACACTTAACAAATCCATTGCAGTAAAATCCACAGTAACTGTGTCTTAAGGTCCAGACACACCGGACGCGAATCGACAACGCGACGCGATTTTTTAGTTTTTGAAAGTAAATAAAACAGCCAATTAGAGCAAATTTTGAAAGGTATGTAGACCAAATAACTCAAAATGTTATAATGCTTCTAAATATTTGGAAAATTTTAACTAGGATCAAATTTTTCGTTCAATGAAAATCGAAACATCACGTCGCGTTAATAGAGACTCCTGCCCACTGACCTATATAAAGCCAATACCCCTGCCGTGAAACAAGATATTAGCTATAAAACACATCAATATACAATTGACTAATAAAGTATTTTCAATTGTTCGTAAATGATATGTTGAAACAGAGACAGGATAAGTACAATAATATAGTTAAACGTGAAAAGAATCACGTATAAATACATCACTGTTGCACTTTTATTATGTCTACATTGAGTGAAATAATATTCGACATGAGCGCAGACTTCATATCGGATCGTATTACATTTCGGAATTCTAACAACAACATCTTGGAGAGTTGAGTCTTAATTTAAACAATAAACATCGGCACTCAACGAAAGTGTGCGGTGGGCCAAACTATATTAATATACGCGCGCTGTGTATATTTAAGTACTTAACACACATATTTAATTTAAAATTCGAGAATGGGATTATTCCTGAAAAATTGAAGCTTGCAATAGTAACACCAATCTTCAAAGCAAATGAAAATAATAAATTTGAAAATTACAGACCAATTTCAGTTATCTCTTGCTTTTCTAAATTACTTGAAAAACTCATGTACAACAGGTTATTTAACTTCATTGATAAAAATCAAATTTTATCAAAACACCAATATGGATTCAGGAAAAATAGATCGACAGAATTTGCCATTATTGAACTTGTGGATATAATTACAAAAGGAATAGAGCAAGGACAATATACACTCGGTATCTTCCTTGACCTATCAAAAGCATTCGATACAATTAATCACAGGATTCTGATTGAAAAACTGGAGCATTATGGAATAAGAGGAATCTGTTTAAAATGGTTTAAATACTACTTAGAGAATAGAAAACAAACTGTCAAGTACAATACAATAAAATCTGATGAAATGATAATTACAAGTGGAGTGCCTCAAAGATCAATACTCGGACCAATACTATTTTGGCTGTATATTAATGATATACAAAATTGCAGTAGAATAGTTTCAATTATCCTTTTTGCAGATGACACAAATATATTTTATAGTCATACTTGTCTTAAAAAATTGAATGAAATTATGCAAACTGAAATAAATAAAATATCTGACTGGTTAAATACAAATATATTGTCTTTAAACACTAAAAAAACTAAATTTATGTTATTTAGGTCATCCAAGAGGAAACAAAGATATAATATAACAATATTTATAAACAACGAAAAAATTAAGCAGGTTAAAAGTACAACATTCCTAGGTGTTGTTATTGATGAGTGCCTAACATGGAAGGATCATATTGACTTAATTCCTAAGAAAATAATGAAAGCCTCGAGCATCATTTCTAGAATACGTCACTTTACCAACTTAAATGCTTTGAAGTTAATTTATTATGCATTAGTCTATCCATATCTAATTTATGGCAATTTAATTTGGGGTAGCACCTATAAAACGAGAATACAGAAACTAATGAACATACAAAAGAAA